AAAGGGGCCTTAGAACCTAGAATATTAGAGCTGGAAGTGGTCTGAGACCATAGACTATAGAAGTGAAAGGGGCCTTAGAACCTAGAATATTAAAGCTGGAAGGGGCCTTAGAACCTAGAATATCAGAGATGGAAGTGGTCTTAGAACATACACTATAGAAGTGAAAGGGGCCTTAGAACCTAGAACATTAGACCTGGAAGGAACCTTAGAACACAAAATGTCAGAGCACAGATTATTGCTCTTTCTTTCCCTTTCTTAGACTTATTTGTGAACAGGTTATATTCTTGTCCCATGACTCCCAACTCCCCCTTCCTCTTCCATGTGAAAAAAAAAGAGCAAAGGATCAGTCTTGTTCGCCTTCAGTAAGCATGATTAAACTACTGCGCACAAGGCTGGGGGTACAAAGATGAAAACCAAACCAGGACATTTTAGGAGGAATGCAGGGAGGGTAGGACCAGAATCTGAGGAGGGAGAGAGCATGAACAGCTAGGGAAATCCAGCAAGGCTTCCAAGAGGAGGTGACAGCTGAGTTGAGCCTTGACAAATCCAAGTATTACAAGAGGCAGAGATGGGGAGCTAGTGAATTTCAGGGCAGTGGGATGGCACCCTGTAACTGCTCTGGCTTTTTTTTTCCTTCCCCGGGATGCCTGTCCATCCTAAGCAGGTCCGAGGGTAGTGCTAGCTGGACGAAAGCAATACTCTCAAAGGTTAAAAAAAAAAAAAAAAAAAAGGAAGGGGGGAGAAGGGCAGGATGACTCCGCAGGCAAAAAGACACATACGGGAAGGGGGTGGGCTGGGGTTACTGGGCTTAAAGAATTCCTAGGGTCTCAGGTCCAGCGGGCGGTGGCGGAAGGAAAGGTGGGGGCGAGGGGGGCGAACAGCTTCTTCCTCGGCCAGGAGGGGCCTCCTCAGACATGAGGTCACTGGGCACAGCCCCAGCAGCAGCTGCCGAAGGAAGGGCGGGCTTTGCAGCTGAGGGCAGAGTTAGGCTCCGAGCCGTTTGGGGAATTTCCCTTCCACTCCCGGGGGAGAGGTGGGAGGGGGACTCCAAGAACTGTCCCTCCCACCCCGAAAGCATTGCCCACCCCTCCACTAGGGAGAAGCCACACCCCTAGGGAAGGGGAAGGGGAGCAGATGCTCCGGGCAGCTCCTGGGAGCCCCCTTGGCTCCCGAGAACAATAGCGCCAGAGTGCTGGCCCCACCCCTTCCTCCCTATAACTGGGATGGGGATGGGGATGGGGATGGGGATGGGGAGGAGAGGGACCAGCGCTGGCTCCCGCCGCAACTCCGAGAGACCACGCCCCTTCTCCTAAGGGAGGAGGGAGCTGGGAGGGACCGGGGAAAGGGAAGGGACGGGAAAGAAAGGAGAGGATGGCTAAGGAACAGAGAAAATCTCCCCCAGTCCCCAGCTAAAAGTGATCTCTCCTCCTTTTCTAGAGCATTTTGTCCTCACCTCTCCCAGCCTACCCTACTTATATTATACTTAGCAGTGTACAAATTGTACCCCTTTCCTGTCAGTCAACAAGCATTTACTAAGTGCCAGGCACTGTGCTAAGGAGCGAAACAAACATTTATTAAGAGTCTACTACGTGCCAGGCACTGAGCAAAGCGATGGGGATACAAAGAAAAGCAAAAAAACAAAAAAACAAAAAAAAAAAAGAGAGAGAGAGAGACAGAAAGAAACAAAACAAACCAATCCCTGCATTCAAAGGAGCTCTCAATCTGATGGGGGAAACAACAATGTATAAACAAGATAAATCGGGGGTAGTCTCAGAGGGAAGGCATTAAAATTGAGAAATGGGAAAAGCTTGTAGAACGCAGGGGTTAGAGAAGGAGGAGGTCTGAGAAGGAAGGGAGAGAGAAAGAGAGAGGGAGAAGAGGCAGGTCTTGGCTTTCTTTTAGCTTGTATTAGTGCCCCCACAGCACTCAGCACACTGCAAGGCACACAGTCAGCTCTTAATGCTTGTTGACTGAGAAAAAGAGAATGAAGGAAGTGGGTAGAGGGGGAAAGGAGAGAGGAAGGGGATAAGGGAAAAGTGGTGGTGGGAGTTGGGGAAAGAGGATGAGGAGAGGGAGGGAGACGAAGGGGACAGCCGGGAGATTGTGGAGGAGGAAGAACGAAGGGAATGGGGATGGGGAGGGTAAGGGAGGAGTGAGGAGGGGGGACGTGGAGGGGGCAAGTGGAGCGGAGAGGAGGAGAGGGAGGGGAGGAGGAAAGCAGGGGCGGTACCGAACAAGGAGAGGGATGTGGGCGGGGCGGAGGACGTGGGCGGGACCAGAAGGAGGATGGGCCGGGGCTCGGAGGAACCTCGGCGTGGGGATAGGCGGAGGGGCGGGCGGCACGAGGCGCACCGGCCCCGCCCCCGCCGGCCGTTAGAGTGGGCACCAGCGCCGGCCACCGCCTCCTCTCAGTCGCGCTGTGCGGGCAGAGCGTCAGGTAGGTGCCGGAGGGAGTCCGAGCGTCCAGGAGGGAGCGCGAGAGCGAGTGCGAGTGCGGGAGCTCGAGCGGGCGGAGGCGCGCGGCCGGACCAGTAGCTAGCAGCCCGCGGAGCCCGAGGACCCGAGCCGGGCCATGGCGCTGTCGATGCCGGTGAACGGGCTGAAGGAGGAGGACAAAGAGCCCGTCATCGAGCTCTTCGTCAAGGTGAGGGGCGCCCGGGACCCGACGGGAGGGACCCTCGGGGAGCACGGAGCGGGGTCCAGCGTGGCCCCTGCCGAGCCCGCCCGCTTGCCCGCCCAACCGGCCCATTCTCTCTGCCGGGCCGCCCGCCCAGAGCAGCTCCGGGAGACCCAGCCCGGCTCCGCTCCTGCCGCGGAGCGTGGGGGGGCCGCTGTGCCTGCCCTCGGGGCCTCGTCCCTCCCGCCCTCCCCCATTAAAGGCTCCTTCCAACGGGAGACCACTGGGGATCCCTGGACTCGTGGGCTGGAGGGAACCTTTGTTAGAACGTGGAGTGTGTGTGTGTGGGGGGGGGGTCTCAGAGAGTGTCAGAGCTGGGAGGGCCCTTAGAACATGGGATGTCCGGGCTGGGAGGGCTCTTAAAACGTGGGTGTCAGACCTGGGAAGGATCTTAGAACATGGGATATCAGAACTGGGAGGGGCCTTAGAACACAGAATGTCAGAGCTGGGAGGGATCTTAGAACATAGAATGTCACAGCTGAGAGGGCACTTAGAACACCGAACCTCAGAGGCAGAAGGAGGGCTCTGGCACATAGAAGCTAGGAGTTGGAGCTGGCAGGAAGCTGGCAGCTTAGACCGGAGCTGGGTGAGTAGACCTTAGCTCTTAGAGTGTTAGAAGTGGAAGGGCCATTAGAGCCCATTATCCCACCTTTCCCACTTCCCCCATTTTGCACATGTTAACCGTGTGGCTTCAGAGGTATCAGTGACTTTTCCCAAAGTCACAATTAATCAATGAAAAAGAGATTCAAACTTTGGCCTTTTAACACTAAGTTCTAAACTTTCCGCTATGACAGGGTTGTGAGGGAGGTTTGTGGGTGGGTAAGATTCTTTCCCCAAATTAGAGTGTTTAAGGTGAGATTCTATTAGGAGCACCTTGTGGAGATGTGAAAAGCTGCTGTGATAAAACTGGCCCCCAACCTCTCCAGGTCCAGCCCTCTCCCGAGTCAGGAAGACCCTGAATTCAAGTCCAGCCTCAGACACACACAAGCTGTGTAATCATGGGCAGCCATTGCACTCACTGCCTCAGTTTGCTCTACTGTAAAATGGGAATAATAACAGCACCTACCTCTCAGGGTTGTTGTCTTCAGTTCAAATGAGATCTCTGTAAAGCGCTTAGTGCAGTGCCTGGCACATTGTAGGTCCTTAATACATGCTTGTTTCCTTCTTTCTCTCCCTTCCCTCTGTTTTTCCAAGAACCCTTCTGTGCAGAGTTCTTTCATGGCTTGTTTTCTTCTGGTTAGGGGATTCCCTGTGGTCCTTAGCCCACTCTGATCTTCTTCCTAGCTTTGTCGAAAGTCACTAAAGCTAAAATGTGCATTTATTGGCAGCTCCTTTCGCCATGGAACCAAGGGGAGCTTAAGATAGATACAGAATCAGTAATATCTAGCCAAGACGCTTTTGAGGAAAGAAATGTTTTTTTGAGAATAAAACATTTTAGGAAATGGCTCTCCAGTGGAAAGATTTCTGGGTTTAAAGTCAGGAGACAGCTGAGTTCTAATCCTGCTTCTGGTACTTCCTAGCTACATTACTGAGCTAAGTCACTTGACTTCTCTGAACCTTCGTTTCCTCATCTGTCAGATAGGGCTATTGTGAACCTCAAATGAGATAAAGTCTATTCAGAGTTTTGTTGACCTTAAAAAAGCGCTATGTAAATATAAGTTATGATTCATAGCATTAGAAAAAAAATAGTAGCTTCTGTAGCTTTCTTATTGAGCTGTTTGGACTGGCTGGGATTAAAATATAACTTTTTGAAAAATTGCTACAAAAATTGATCCATTCCCTAGCCTCTGGAAAAGATAATAGAACTTTGCTAGTTAATTCTTTGACCATCTGGTTTTCTTCTTTCTCAGACATTGAGTATTTGCATGATTCAACATTTTGGCCATGGTAGCATGTGTTGCTATCACAGGACCAATTGTGTGTTGTCTTTTGTTTTAGCAGAGAAATTGTGATGACAAAAACATCCTTAGCCACTGTGGATGGGGGTTTTACACTATTCTTTTTCCCCTTGTTGCTTCACAATATTTTGCAGTTTCTAGACTACCAGAATAATTATTCATAACATCTCTCCTTTTTTTTTTTCCAGTTCTTGATATTTTCACTCTAAAATGGGAGGGGAAAGAATTTTTACAAGTGTCCGGGTCTGGGGTCAGCCTTTTTAAAATCTTTGAGGTTTTTTAGCTTGGTTTGTTAAAGAACAAAGATTCTCTTAGATGTTAACAGCAATTAATTCAACATTCACTCATTCAGCAAACTTTTATTAATGATGGCCAGTTGTATACCAAGTTATGCTTTGGGCCATCTTAGGAGGGAGATGTAACATTTAGATAACTGTTTCTGCCCTCGTAAGGCATAGACACGAGCACAGGTCACTGTAATATATATCACATGACAAATAAGTTCAGACTTAGTGCTGTGAGAAGATGGCTGGGGGACAGGTTATGCAGGCTGGCCATCATCATTCCAATGTCAATGTAATTCGAAATTTTGAATTTATATTTCTCCCTCTTAGGAATTTTCTGAGTGAAGAGCAGGGAGGGAAAAAAAAAGAAAAAAAGGAGTGAAAGGTTTGGGAGAGAGGGTGCTGTCTTGCAAGTGATATAAAAGTCCTCAAATGGAAGATTTTCTTTCAGATATGGTTTTACCTTTTGGGTCAGAGAAGGACCAGCCAGTTAAGTAGCTACAGGTCACTCCATGGTTTTGGAGGTATTTGGGGTGGCAGGTCTTCCCTTCAACAGGATCTGAAGTTAGACAGAAGGGAGTGTTTGGAGGGAGGGCAGGGACAGGTTCTGAACCTTTTCTCTTCTTGAGTGCCAGAAGCCTAGTTTTAAATTTACCAGTTGGAATGGAAGGGGAAGGACCAGTTGAGAGACTAACTGGAGCATACCTGGATTATCTTAATATGGGCCAATTGTTTTGTTAATCAACCTGCATTTACTCTTTGTCCGGTACTTCTCTATTCTCTTGTCTGTCCTCAAGGAGCTCACATTCGAATGCAAACAACTCTATTATGAACCAGATTTCTGCCTGGCTTGGAAAGGATAATCTCAGTGGGTAGGCACTGAAATGAAAGAGGACTGGGGAAGGAAGCCAGGAGGTGGAGATGAAGAGAGAGCTTCTATTCTATATGTGACAGCCTTCCCTAGCAGTTCAAAAACCAGGAGCAATGGGATGTTACTTTTTTTTTTTCTCAGATTCTCTTTTCAGAACCCATGTGGGAAATATTTGAGGTGGTGGTAGTGGACTATTTAATTAATATTTTTTAGGACACTGAGGGTAGAGGGAGATTGCTGTTCATGATGGTAGTGTTACAAACTTGTTCTGCTCTGAATTTATAGCAAAACATTATTATTTATGCTTAGAGCATCTAACCAGGATGAAATAGACTTAAAACAATGTTTTTGGGGAGATAGATTAAAGATCTTTGAATGACCTGTGTAAGACAGTGACGGACACTGGATTTGGAGAGAGAAAATTTGGGTTCCAATGCCAGTTCTCTGCTACTTATGAGCTTGGTCAAGATACTTTTCTGAGCGCTAGCTTCTTTATCTATAAAATAAGGAATAATAATATTTGTCCTGTCTACCTTGGAGCCTATTGAGGAGCCACTGACTTAGTTCTGTGAACTGCTATGTAAATGCCACCTATTTAGGATGGAGAGCTAGAAAAGACTTCAGGGCTGTTATTTTTATGGATAAGGAAACTGAAACACATGGAAAGGAAGTCCTAGGCATCATCCTAGGATTGGGAAGCTCAGAGCTGGAAGGGACCTCAGAGGTCACTCAACCTCATTCCCTCATTTATAGTAAGAGCAGACTTAGAGAAGTAAGGTGAATCGCCCAAGGTCATGAAGGAAATATACATAAAGGAGGGAGAAGGAGAATTTGAATCCAGGTCTCTGGATCCCCTTAATCTCTGTCTTTAAATCCTGTTCTTTTTGTTATTAATGAATGAATGAAAAAGGATTTTAAAATGCTTACTATGTATGTGTCAGGCATTTTGAAAATTTATTTTTTAAAATATTGCCCAATTACATGTAAAATTCTTTTAACATTCATTTTTTAAAATTTTGAGTTCCAAACTCTCTCCCTCCATCCTGATCCTCCCTCTTCCTTGAGAAGGCAGGCAGTTTGTTATCGATTATACATGTGAAGTCATGTGCAAAACATATTTCCATATTAGCCATGTTGCAAAAGAAAACAGACAAAAAAAAACCCTTAGAAAAAAAAGTAAAAAAAGTGTGCTTCAGTCTTCATTTAGAGTTCATCAGTTTGCTTTCTGGAGGTAGATAGCATTTTTCATCATGAGTTCTTTGAAATTGTGTTGGATCATTGCCTTCATCAGAGTAGCTAAGTCTTTCACAGTTGGTCATTGTATAGTATTGCTGTTAATGTATACAATGTTTTCCTGGTTCTGCTCATTTCACTTTGCATCAGTTCATATAAGTTTTCCCAGGCTTTTCTGAAATGATTCTGCTCCTTATTTCTTACAGCATAATAGTATTCTATTACAATTACATACTACAACTTGTTCAGTCAATCTCCAGTTGGTGGGCATCCTCTCAATTTCCAATTCTTTGACACCACAAAAAGAGTGGTTATAAATATTTTTGTACAAATAAGTCCTTTTCCATTTTCTTTGATTTCTTTTGGGATACAGACCTAGTAGCGATGTTGCTAGATCAAAGAATATGCACAGTTTTATGACCCTTTGGACATGATTCTAAATAGTTCTCCAGAACAGTTGGACTAGTTTACAACTCCACCAACAATGCATTAGTGTATCAATTTTTCCACAGCCCCTCCAGATTTGTCCTTATCTTTTTCTTTTAGCCAATCTGATAGTGTGAGGTAGTACCCCAGAATTGTTTTAATTTTTATTTCTCTAATCAGTAGTTATTTGGAGCATATTTTTCATGTGACTATTGAGAGCTTTGCTTTCTTCTTCTGAAACCTGTGTCTGCCATT